CATTAATCTATAATTATAAGAGTGTTTTTTTTTTAAGGGGAGAGTATGTTATTCATTTGATGGCAAAGATAGATCGTATCATCCATATTTTTTGCTATTATGGTCGGATATAATTTTTGATTTGGGTTGTACGTCGTTATGTGAATTGGAATTTTGATTGCACGAACTCCAAGTCAAACCCCCAATTATAGCTAAATCTACAACAGAGCAATCCTTGTGTAATTTCTATTATACTCAGTATAGTGAAAACAAATTTTCACATTTCAACTATATAATGTATATTATGTTGGTGAATCATACAAAATTGTGTTTGCTTTTATTTTCTTCATTTTCCAACTATGTACCGGCTCAATTGTAAGAGCAAAGTTTTAGTGCAGTCAGGGGCGAAGCTAGGATTTGAATCTCGGGGGGGTCGAAGTTGTTTAGTTTACCATGAAAAAAAAAGTTTATAGAATTTTTATTATCATAACAAAACAAGAATTGAGATAATTATTTACTATGTGATATGGTCAAAACAAATTATTAAATTACGAAAAAAATTAATCATGTATTTCAATATGTAGCTCATTTTTATTATTTTCAAACAATTTATTGGCTTATTTCAATATGGAAATAGCAAAATAACACTTAATTTGCTGTAGTTTAGGTGAGAATGCTCACAACTTGAAAATGGCAAAAATGGGCACTAATTCGCTATAGGCAAGATTCAAACGCATGCACTCAATTTGAAAGATCAACTCTTTAACCACTGGTCCGCCCCTTAGTTTCTTGTTAGATTATTGCGCACATAATTTATATTCTAACATATATTTTTTACGTAATTTTTCACAATCCGAAGAGATTTTGTACGTAGTTTCAAAATTCTCGGGGGGGCCGGGGCCCCTCCGAGGCTCCACCTAGCTCCGCCCCTGAGTGCAGTGAAAATTTTGCATGATAATCCTAAGGTTCACGGGACATATTAAGTGTCAAAATTCAAACTTTCAACGTGTATGTTATCTCAAAACCTTATAAATTGCCTCTTAATATACTATTTTATCATTCATATAAAAATGAAATTAAGCTCCATCCAATGTGAATGTAAATTCATAATCTGTTTAGACAAACAAATTTTCATGCTTCGTTTCAGACTTTTCGTTTCATATTAGAGGTCAATATATGCCAACACTAGTTCAAACAAGTACATGTTATATTTTCTTCCTCTATATTTAATTAGGTGGTTCATTTTTTCTCAAATATTGTGTACATATAAAAACAAGGGTATTTGATTTATTTGAACCGTTTGTAAGATTCGAAGTGCCTTAGAAGTTAGAACGTAGGAGATGGGTGCCCACATCTCGAAGCCATGAGTCAGAGACAGTACATGTAGTGTTAGTGTAGGTCATTACTTAAAATTGAGGCTTTGCAATATGGCTTTTTATTAATTCATTATTAGGAAACGAGTCGTCTAAGCTAATTCCCATGAAATTCTAAATTGATCACGGGTTTGATATGGTCGCAGCTTGTACCTTAAACATTTCATTAAGATTGATTGAGTTCAACGTTAAATAAAATATGAGTATCACTATGTAATTTGTCATAAGGCCGTCTATTCCGTATAAGTTTAGAATTTCCACATCAGAATAGTAGAAACTATGTATTTTCGTTGTTAGTGTCATATTCATTATGAGAATCAGTTATCCCACTCTATTTAAATTCTAGTTGGATTTCAACAAAAAGACAATAAATGTTTTGACCAAATCCTAATTTATATAAGTTCCACGACTATGAGAAATCAAGTATCTAAGGTTAGAAGGCGATTGAGATCTACAAAGAATTTCACTATTGAGTTGTTGTGGATATTATGAAAGTAAGTTATTGCACATAATTATACATACCTTATAATTAATCATTATCCCATCGAAAACGTTTAAATATCGTACAATGACTTTGAGTAAAATTATAGATCCAAGTCCATCACTTAAAATTGAAGTAAATGAAAACGTTCAAGGAATTAGTAAGAATGAAACAACAATAAGGCAGGGACGGAGCTAGTGCATTGAAAGGAGGGGCCATGGCCCCCCCTAAAATTTTAAAACCAGACTGCGCAGGACTTGACATATACCTTGCTTTCAGTCCAGTGGTTAACTAGTATATTTTTACACAGGAGGTCCTGTGTTCAAGGTTGAAACCTTGCAAATAAATTAACCCAAAATGTCCATTTCCCCTCTTAAGTTATATCATTTTAGCATATCTCACCCCAAAAAATTTCAAGTAATACAATTTGCTACCAAACCTTCTTGTTTTTATACCATTCTTTTTCTTTATGTTTTGTTTTTAGCCCTAATTTCTCATCTTTATTTTCCAGCCCTATAATTTTGTAATAAAACTTGCTTATTTTTTAGTATCTTTCTCCTATTTTTTTCTCCGGATTTCCCAATTGTTTACCGTTTTGATTATGTAAAAAATAAGAGTGTTCACCAATTTCTCCTTTCTCCATTAGGAACAGGTACATATTTCAATTTTTTTTTATTCTCCTATGTTGCCACATGCATTCATCTTGTTTATATAACAAAGAAAACATCTTGTACTACTTACGCTAATAGTTTATTAATTTATATTGAACAAAAAGAAGCATAATGAAAATCACATAATATTTTGGACATTAGTGACATAAAAACATATATTCGACTAAAATATAATAAATTATAAATTTTATATATCATATATTTGACTTCTAATTTTTTTTATTGGCCCCTCCTAAACTAAATTCCTGGCTCCGTCCCTGAATAAGGTATTATAAAAAAATAAAAACAAAAACAGTAAGGTGAGTCTATTTAGTATGCGGTACCCAGCATCTATCTATCGATACAAACTTAACTCTTAGAAAGCTTAGAAGCCATCAAATGTGGGCATTTCCAACTACAATTTTTTTTATTTATTACCCAACTACAAATTTCACCATTTGGAAGAAAAGATAAGATGCATACCATCTTTCTTATAACCTCGTTTATCATGAGTAAATTGATGCGTGATAGCATCATGGGCTGAGCCCATTAGCATAAGGGTGACGTCGGTGGAACCGGTGAACCGCTCGAACTGATTAGATGCGTGGGGCAGAGGGCTGGTAGTATCCCTTTTCTTGATCCAACCTTTTCTTCACTTCGGTAGTGAATCCCTATCACGCATCATAAATACAATTCTTACTATAATACAATGTGTTTTAAATAGTTATAAGAACCATGATAATCTAGATTATAAATGCTTATGCAGATCATCAATTGATCTACTTTATACGCTAAGTGATTGTGTATGTGAATACGAATATAAGGGGTAAAATTATCAGGGTCAACGACGAGTCAAAGGCTACCTAGCTGCACCGTACTGGAGCGAGATAATTATGGTTCAGCCCATGGACGCCATCGACAGCCAGCATTAGGCCAATACTACGGTGCCGCTATAAAAAGTGCGGCACCGATAACGCCGTTTCTAATTGGTACACGTGGACTGTGATGTGGCATGGTTGGATTAATTAAATCTTACCCAACCCATCCGGCCCATAAGAAGTGGCCCAAACCGTGTCCGTCAAAGTTAACGCATAACCACCGGTTACGCTATTTTATCTTTTATTTTATTAAATTAAAATTAAGCTAAATCGTATTACGGTATTAGTTTTGCATTTCATCAGAATAAGAACAGAAAACAGAGGAAGTCGGAGAGAACAAAAAACAGAGATCAATCAAACGAACCAAAAAAAAAAAAAAACTCAATCGATCTTCCTCTCCCGGCGGTTTCTCGAGAATCACTCCGAGCGACTTGTCCTTCGTCGATCTACATTTGTTTCCTCCTACTGTCCTGCACTTATTCTGATGTGACCGGGGTGAAGGTATCTGCCGTCGTCGCGAGCCTCTGTCTCCATCTAACAGTGTCGTCGGTAAGGTAGCAGACAACTCACGAGTCAGAGAAGACGAGAGTTTCGTTTCCCTGTGGTTCGTCAGCCTCTTTTTGCTCCTCTTTATTGCAATCTTGGAAATCAAGTTCTAGGCGGTGCCAAGTTGTCGCCGTCGGTGACCTCCCGCAGGCTCTCTCACTTTCCGTCAAATAGATAACTAAAGTACCACACTCACTCGCTGGCTACGGTCAGTTTTCAATTTAAAGGTTTAAACGTTTGTATTGTTGCATTTAAAGAGCAGTAGGTGATTCTATGCTCCAGCGCTGTTCTGTTCTTGGTCTATCCTTCCCTCATTCATCTTGGTTTCTTTTTATTGCTTTCCATTACATGAAAATGGAAACTGAGGTTTTTTTTTGTGTTTGGTTTATTTGTTTTAAAAAGGGAATTCGTAGGATGCTTTTGGTGCATATGGATTCTATCGCCTCAATAAGTTCAACAAATGAGCGAGGAAGGGATGAATCTTCTCAACAACACGAATATACATCAGGGAACCAACATTGATTCCTCTTCCATCATAAAAGGTAAATGCCAGCGGGTCGATAAAAGGAGAGAAAGATACAATGAATTCGTGGTTTAAGGGAGCAAAGGCGGCTGATCAAACTTCTGAGACCTGTTAGGAAGTGGATTCAGTACACCCATTACTCATCATATCAGCAGCTGAAGCTGCAGAAGCTGTAGGAAATCTAAGAGTACACATTGGGGAGCTTCCGATTCTTTGTCTGCCATCACCTTGTTAAGGGTGCGTCTTTCCTCTTGTAAGGTGTAAGCTAATGGGATGCAGTTGATTCTATATAAGATTATCCAGGAAATGAAAAATGAGAAGATTTTTTGTCAAGTCCCAGGCCCTGCCATGGTTGCAGAGTGCAAACCATCTAAAAAATTGAGCCCTTGATCGTCCGTGGCAATGCACTTCCATTTCTGCATAACTCATGATATTGGATTGGAGAGGTCAAAGGCTGTTCTTTTGTGTGAGATATAATATGGATAAAAATGAATTTGTATTGAAATCTTTGATGGAATAGTAAAAGACCAATGAATCTGGAAGCATGGTTCTAAGTATAGGTAGATTCTATTGGTAACAAGCATAATCTAGTCACAGCTGGGCAAAAATTCATGAATACACTATAAATTTCCCCATACTCCCAAGAATCATGAAAATGAGTTATATAATCAGGTCAACGTTTTATTGACAAAATTACATATAAAAATTTCCTCTTTCCATCCCATAGATCCACCTTTGCAGCTTCATATCATGACTCTTCATTCATTATGTACAGCAGTTTCTCTTTCCATATTGTCAATTGGTCTCAGCCACTATTCCCACATGGTCAATCAGCTTGCAATGGTGTGCGGCGGGGGATAGGGGCTTCTCAAAATTACCCCCAAAATTGAAGACACATATGGAGCTCCTTTCATTCATAAACAATTATATTCATTTTTCTTCAAGGTTTCCTGCAACTGAATTGAGCATAGAGATTCAGTGACAAGATAGTTTACATTGATGATATAAGAAAGGAAGAGATGCATCAACGAGAGACCCGATCTGAAATACAGGTTATTTATCTCCTTCACTTCATCTGAGAAAGACAATGGAGCAGCAGCTGGATCTGTCTGCTGCACATATTCCTCATGAAACAATTAGATGGAAAAGATGAGTCGCAAGTAGAAGGAAAGTTAAAAACAATCCGAGAGCCAACTATCACTCCCATTAAGCTGTTAGAATCAATTTACATATATGCCTAAACAAAACTAAACCTTAATCAAACTAGAATAGTAAACTCCACAAAACAATTCAATGGCCTTGCATTTCGCATCTCTTCCTCTTCGTTTGCATTGTCTCTCCATCAAAAAGATCAAGCTGTCTAATAAAGACTTTTTTAATATCCGAGAGAGTCAAAATGATCCTAGCATAACTGGAATCTTAAAATCATCCACGCACAATCTAAATACTTTTACTAAGGCATGAAGTTCTAAACACAGGAATTCTTATGCCATAGCTTTTCAAGAAAAACAAAATTGTAATAGTGCTAATGAAGCCTTAATACCCGAGAAACTCATAATCAAAGAAGCATAACTTAGAATCGTAAAACCAACCACTCAATAGGCTGGAAAGTAGGAAAATTAAATATAACACTTCTAAAAACTCTATCCAATGGGCTAATGACTAGGTTTCTTCCCTTCCAGTCGAAGTTAATGAATGGAAATCATAGACTGAAGACTTGTGAGCACTAACCCCATTCTTAAACAATGATTTCACAATCATTTGACTGCAGATTCATTTCATTGGATAATTACTGCTAGCAACCTGGGCAAATAAATGAAAGAGAAGCAAACCACAAAACATTATCTTTCTAAACTCAGCATAACAAGGTCGAAATTCACTTTACCTGCAAGAGCAAGAGCTTCAAGGCCTTCATCATATCAAGCCTCCCACTGGACTGAAGTCAGATGGATGCAATAGAAGATGCAGTTCTAGACTGCTTGAACTGGAACATGAAACCTGGGGCATCACTGTAGCTAATTATTCAGTCGATCATGTGTTGTGAATAGTGACAAATTTTATAAATTAATTTAGCTACCGAATAGATGGTTAGTACGAAACCAAAATACATACATAGATAAGCGAGGATAACTTACCATTTACGGGTTGTGATACTCCGGTGGAGAAGAGGTTGAGGTTTGGAGTCGGAAATGGAGGCAGAGAGGATCGCCGAAAGTGCACCCATCTGCAGCAATGGAGTTCCCCGGCGGGACCCAGATTTGAGATTCGGGATCGGGACACAAAGAATTGGGCATTGCGCCCGTCTTAATGCTTTGCGATTCGCAACGGTGGTCATGTGGCGTGCGACACAGCGACATGGAAACGGGACAACACGGCGGCGCAGGAACGGGTGGTGGCGAGATCGATGATGCGGATTGCGGAGGCCATTGAAGGAGACGATCTTCCGCTTGGAGGCTAGAGGAGCTGCTTGCTGGGGCCGGAGGAGCTAGGGCGAGAAGAGGCCGATGAAGAGCAGAATTTACAGATTGTGAACTGAAATTGTGAAATGGGGGGAGGAAGAGGCGGAGCTCGGATCAACTGTGTTTGTCAATGCCTAACAGCACGACGTCGAGTTAAGGTCTGGCTCTCCGTTAGTTTGGAAGAGGCCGGTTGGGCCATTTCTAAACGCCACCGAATTTTGATCATTGTTCATTAAACCTATCCAGCCCGCCACATCAGTACACGTGGACGAATCAGAGATTGCGTCACCGATGCCGCACTTTTTATCGCGGCACCATAGTATTGGCCCCAGCATTAACATCACGGGCCATTTGTTTAGCCCAAACCTAGTGGCCCATTAATGACACCAGCAAATAGCCCAGTATCATAACCTACAAATAACCGCATCAGCTCTTCCTTCCCATCCATCATTTTTGCCGCTTCGGCCTAGTTCTCCCGAGGCAAAACCCTAATGGGCATGACAGCAGCGTCTTCAATAGAGGGCCGCCATCTGGTTGTTCGTTGTTTTCATTCTCTCTCTTTTCGTTTCTGTTGTTTTCGTGTTGTCTGATTCAAAATGGCCGGCGAAGATGAAGAGTGCTTTATTTCTGACACCTCTTGTATGAGAGGAGCTCCTTCACCGGAGCTCTTCCTTGAGCACAGTTAGCAACTCTCTGAGCCTTTCACCATCTGTTCTCCTCTTGTTTTTTAACTAGCATTCTCTGATAGAGCCAGAATTCCTACTGGCGTTTGAAATTTTGTTTTTATTACTATTCTGGATCTGAAAATTTTATTTCGTTTGTTTTGCCCCTTGTTCCCTGTCGTGATGGAGCTGCACAAAGAAATCGGAGTAAAAATTATAGCTAGAGTGGTTTTACCTTGCTTTGAGCGATTCATTCATTATCCGAGTTATTTAACTCAGACAGATATTAATGGGTTTGGATCGCCTACACCAGGGAAGACCAACCTAGCTATGTCTTTTACTACTGATTCAACTCTGCTATCTCGGTGCTCGCGTGAAATTGTTTGGCGGTAATGTCGACTGGTATTGTACATCCTTTTTGTTCCATTTTCTTTTTATTCTTTAACTATCCAATTCATTTGATATCGAACACTTCTGTACTGGATTGACACCTCGAGATGTCGTAAAAACCATGGGTTGTGAAGGAGCTATTTGACTAAAAAGCAGATAGAATGCGATGGGATCTCGTTGGACCAAGTATCTGAAGCCCCATTACAACGATGTTGGTTAAATGTAGGGCTGTTTGGAGCGGACCAAATTTATCAGAACTGTACTCCAATAGTTTTAACTACTCCAATGGTCTTAAAGATGATGAATTGACCAATAGTATGCTCCTTGATTTGTATGGTCCAAATGTAAGGGCTCGTTTGCGTCGTGGATTTGAAAAATGAAGGTTTTGGTATAACTTGGGTTTTGAAAAATCATGGATAAATGAGGGTTTTAGGTTCATTATGGATTTGATAAACACCATTGTTTGTTTGATGGATTTTGTTTATTAAATTTGTATGTATGAAGTGTAATTTACCTTTATTGCCCTTAATGATATAAGAAGAGAAAGCAAATATGAAGGGTATGTTGGTAAAAAATGATGGACTTCAAAGTCCATGATCAATTCCCACCTAAATAGGTGGAACTTTCAAGTTCGTGTGGAGTGTGGACGGTGTGGTTCATGGATTTGGTCTCTTAAAGTTTGTGGGACCCACGGATTTGTTTCCCCTAAATGCATGAAGCAAACAATGGATTTTTGATAAAGTCCATAATAGATCCAAATCCATCACCAAATCCACCAAGCAAACAAGCCCTAAATTCAGTTCATTGTTTTAGTATTTGTAAATATCATGGGATCGAAGTCCAGATTGTCATTATATTTAGTTCGATGATCCAGTCTATGCTTCAGTGATGTCCGTCGGAGCAACCTGTTATACACCCCAAATGTATGTTTTGGTAGTATTATGTACAAATTAGATGCAAATATTGGTGTCTAATGCTTGTATTGGTGCAGAGAAATAATACACAAATTGTTTTTAAATGCATTCTTAGAATTAATAATATTTTCAAATTACAAAATTTCTCGCATTCGTTTAAGATGGCTTACTCAGGAACTCACAGACTTGCACCGCATCAGCATGGTGGTCTAGATTGGTTACTGAAGATTGATATGAAAGGAATTAAGGAAGCTACTCATTTGCTCTTACGAATTGGAACACTTCACTAGTGCTCTAATCATAGAACAATTTTGTACGTATAACCATAATAACCCTTTTAGCCAGCTAGAAACCCTTCCTACCAACGACTCTTTTATTCTAATTTTCTTTTTAATGATTCAGCGTTGATTGTAGCAACTGCGAAGAGTTCTGGACATGAGGTTAGAAAGCTTCCTGTTAGATAACTGGAATGGCGCCGGAATATAAGCACCTCTGTTCCCGCATATCCTCTCCGCCGACATCCCAACTTCTTCCGCTAGCTTCTCTGCTGTCTCCTCGCTCTCGATCACGTTGTCGTAGCAAATGTACCTCCCGCCGGCTGTCTTCTTCATCCCTTCGAAAACGCAGGCTTGTGCCTCCGCCAGCTTCATCACGTCCACTGTCGCCAGCAGCCCGTCTGCAAACATCTCTTGAGCTCCTGCCAAACAATAAGCAGACGTCAAGTTCTGGTTCTGGTAAGATCTTGTTTGATGAAAACGCTATGGAAATTAGCTAACAAATCAAGGTAGTATGTCGTTTATCCATTCTACAATCCTTGTTATCGAATATTTTGACCAATTTGTCACCAATTGTATTGATCCATAGAGAAATAAGGGGAGTGGTGGGTGATATTGGATTTGGGTTACCTTTTAGGTAGGCAACGGTTGATGTTGGGTTCCTGTCAAAGAATTCAGGGCCTGTAATAAGACCTGGGCAGATGGTGGCCAATTTCACACCTTTCTCTTTTGCTATTCTCCATGCTGCCTTCTCTGCTCTCAACTTGCCCAAAGCATACCACAGCTGTTCGTACAAAAGATTGAAGTTAGAAGCTAGGGAGAAGAGTTAAACTAAGAAATGATCAATGGAGGTGGAGTTTGGACTTTTACCCGTTTATCTCTGCAAAATGTTTCTTCGCTCCAGGACTCGTGGTTGATGACACAGGGGTAATCCTGCAAGGTGCTGTCTCGCCAAATGCAGGCCAGCAGCGATGAAGTGAGCACGCAGCTTCTTACCGACGAGGTCCTCGAGCATGCCTCCACCACATTCTCAGCAGCCTTCACTTCAATTTCGCCCATCGATTTCTGACATGCATCAAAAGTTGGAGGGTTTAGATTAAAGCTATAATCAGAAACAGAGAACATGGTAAAAGCAGTACGAAAGATGCAGTACGCTCCGTAACGCCAACCGGAATGTCAGATATTGGTTCAGTTGGGGCAGCTATCAAAGAGCAACAGAGTAATAGAGCTAGACAAATAAGGAGTATGTACTATTGTATGACTTTTGATATATATTCCGGTGTTAGTTTTGGATTTGTAATTACGCATTAAGGTTTTTTTTTACAGTGAAATATGCTTTCTTTATTCCTTCATCAATTGATTACAACAGTAGCTAGGAGAAAAAACAATCAAGCAGATTGATAATGGTGATACTATAAAAGAACCAAATAGCAGAACCCTTTTCCACATTAGTAATAACATACTTCCTCACCCGCATTCCATCCTTCCTTTCGGTTGAAAGTAGGCACACTGTCAAACAATATTTCAGCATCCTGGTGGTTTTTCCAGTGGGTAGATGAGTGAAAGGGTGTCAAAGTCTCTATAGAAATCTAATGAATGACACTTGGCTAGTGAGGTCTAGATGCCTCTTTGTCATTTGTCAAGGCATCAGGAAAAGGACACAACTCAAGTGAGGTTTGGAAAATGGCAAGTGAGGAAGGTTAGGTGAGTATCAGAGTATGGCAAGTTTTCTTCTCCCACCGGCCACCAGGGTGGAGGTTGGTTTGCATTTATTTAGTGAACCAAGCTTGAGCTACTCTAAGAAGAATGGACCTACCAATTTCTTCTAGAATCTAAGGGGCGTGGACCTCAAATATCAAAAGCAGCTACCTTTTGAGCAAATACAAGGATTAGGACATCCCAACTACTGAAATTGCGTGTACCATTTGTGGGTACTTTTGGCTCAGCTAAAATAGACCCCTTTAGAAATTGTATTTCCAAACAGGTGACTCTTGACTCTTCCACTTTTTGGTCCAGCCAATGGGTGGACTCTCACTCTCCTATTCACTTGGCAATACACTGAACAGCAATGCTCGGTCACGAATCCTAGAATCACATAAAGCATTTCACACCACACAGCTTAGCCTAGTACCACTCACGTCCAAACCTAACATGTAGAAGACGGGCCAGCCTATTCCTGGTGACTCATTTCCATTAAAATGTTTCTAATTCTATTAGATTCAGTGCATTTGGCGAATGCATGATCTAGGACAACAATTTTTTTTTATGTCAATATTAATACACTGACCTTCCATTTCCACTTGATTTCACTAGCTTCTAGAAGATTAGAACAGTCAAAACAAGAATATTATTAATTATCATGATTTAACAAATAGCAATTAGAGGCTAGAATGAATAATTGAGGGTGGAAGAGCCCAGACAGTGAAAAAAGGAAGAAAAAGGTTGGGGGGCTGCGTGGGAATGGAGACTGACCGTGTAACCGGAGAGTCCAGCGGGATCCGCGAAAGCCGCAGTGTGGAAAACGCCTCGGCAGCCGTTGAACGCCTCCGCCAAAGTCTCCACTTGGAACAAACTCGCCACCACTGCTTCCACCACGCCGTTGTTGTTGCTTCCCAATCGCCGCCTCCCCTCCTCCCCCGCCGCCGCTTCTTCCATCTCCCTCAACTTCTCCACATCCTCTGCCACCGCCACAACAAATTCAAATCAGTAAAATCAATCTAAAAATAGCTGAAGAAATTGTTTCCCTAATCAGATTAACACACACAAATCGGGACTAATCTCGCTGGACATTTCCGAGAATTGAATTCAATTTCTGGCGGCCGTTCATTTCTATCTTTCAAATTCCGATTCAGTTTGATTTGCAGGAAAGCAGAGAGGAGGGAGGACTAAGCAGATCAATCTCTCGGTTCTGCGTCGGTTACCTACCTTGGTTGTCGACGAGGATTCGGACGGCGTAACCGCGGACGAGGAGGCGGTTGACGACGGCGAGGCCTAAGAAGGAAACGCCGCTGGTGACGCAGACGATCTTCTCCTCGCCTACGTCGTCGTCGATTTCAGGGGAGCGGAGATGGAATCCGAGCTGCTCCTCTTCGTCTTTCCTCCGGCTGAGTCCGGCGCAGGCGACTACCATCCGCTTGAACTCCTCAATCTCCTGCCTCCGGCTCTCTTCCGTCGGAATAAACCCCATCTTTCTAACTCGAGAAAGGAAAGAAAGAAAGAAGAAAAAAAAAAGAGCTTAAACTCTGTTGAGGTTGGGAAGCTTCAAAAATCAAAGCTGCTGAGAGACAATGAGCGATTCAAAGCAGTGAGGAGAATGGTGTTGTCGTTGTTATATGGAGGGGAGAGAGAAAGGGACAGTCATTGGAGATTAGCAGAAACGAGGAAGGAAGGAGAAGAGACTTGTGGAAATGGACCTCTGTATATAAATCGCTACTTCTATTTCTGTTTTCATCTTTTTCGTGAGTCGCGGCTTGCATCCAGCTGGTGTCAGCCGTCGGTTTGGGCTTTGTCGTTGCATGTTTGTTTAGGCTTTTGAATTAAACAAAAAATATTCACAACTTGGGCCTGGACGGTTTCAGATATTTGTTAATTTTTATGATTATTAGGCTTTTAAAAATCTTAAATAATTATTATAATTATTTTGACCTCTCTACTTTGCAAAGTTCTCAAACAAGCACCTCTACAAATATCCCTATGCTCACAATGCTTTAGCGATGGCAGAGCAAGATAAGACCTGGGGTTCATTTGTTTGATCCATTTGGGCCCTCCACGAGAATCCCCATTAAATGCCTCCGGGAACATCATAGTAAGCCTCGGTGAGATCGAAGATGGGATCTGCCACTTTCTGGAACAAGCGCCCACTAAGAATTTCACCGCTAAATTATGTCACAGTGTTTCTTTTCAATAGAGACAAAATGGTACTTGAAATCATTAAAAAAAATTAATAAGAAAATGGTACTTGAAATTAAAATAAACAATGTTAATAGTCATGGTTGGTGATTCAAGCAACATATAATTTTTAAAATAGTGATAGGGAAATTAAAAATTGTTGTGATCTGTGAAGATGTACTTTGATAAACCATGTGTTGAAGGTGGATTTCGGTAGCTAACATTGATAAAAAAATTTTATGAATGTAACTGATGTTAAATTGTAACAACAAACTTCAAATTGTAACAGATGTTAAATTATAAAGGGAATTGTAACTGAAGTTGATAACATATTCGAAAAATCCTCATCAATTTCCTTTCTCTTTAGCGCCCACCATGGGTCCACAATCACCCGGTAGATTATCTTTTCCTCCTTTTAATCTTAGTGATTTTTGTATTTTTTTAACATGAATTGAAAAATCATGCAATACTAGCGGTTCGATCATGAGTCCACGTCACATATTTTTCATTCATGATATGATATGAAGATTACTAATATGCCCATACAATAATTAATGTTAGGGCTGGATGAGGTTCACTCTCTTTGAAGATCGTTTTCATCAACTTGTTAGCTGCCTACTGATAGCCACCGCACTTCTGTATTCCATTTTAGATACATCTAATAACAAATTGCCTCACACAAAGTTCTCACCAAAAAGAAAATGTAATGGAGATATATATATATATATATATATATATATATATATATATATATATATATATATATATATATATATATATATATATGTGTGTGTGTGGCAATGGATCAGTTTGGTTTTCTATCACTTGTATTTGGGAATGTTCTAATAGCTTTCGGGATCTACTCATCCTCTACTCAAGATCTCTACTTTCTCATATTTTAAAATATTTATAGTCAAAGATAAATTCACCTAATCATGATTCATGAATGTGTATGTATCTCCCCTCGGTTGGGAGGAACATAGATGTTTATAGATTGATTTTTAGGATTATGGAACGATATTGGAAAAATTATAATGAATATTTCAGTATTCATATTGTTCTGTACTATGTGTGAATTCAGTGATATATATAGTACTCGTAGAGGTATGGATTGTGATAGGTTGACCTAGTCTTTCATATACTCATAAGAAAATTTATATAAAATGGTTTTATTTTCATATGTGAATATACAAGAGAAATTACATTATAGACAGGAAAAGGCTATGATCACCAAACTAATAAACCTATAATGTCTAAGAGGTGAAAATTTGCACTGATAAATCACACCTAGATTAGTTTATGAATAAATTAAAATATCATTATATATGAGCAAGAATTGAGATAAAACAGTTGAAGAACATGGCGGGACGATGTAGGAGTTGGCGGAAATAAGACCGATATCTTACTTCATACTGCTCACAAGTTTGGATGAAGGACAAAGATCCCAGTGGAGCGGCAGTGAGCAATGCATATAGAAGCAAAACTGAACGGACGTTGCCTTCACAACTATCTTTCAGTGTCTGTCCCATATGTGATGCCAATTACGAACAAATTAAAGGATCTCCTATTCCTATTATCTCTTATTATTTGTTGGATCAGCAGTCGCCGATTTATACTAAAATAATACACTCCGGTTTGCAAATGGAACAACTCGGCTCATTTATCATTAACATTAAAATTGACATTTGGTTAGTTAGAGTGGTTTGGGCTTTGGCTTTCAGCTAAATAAGTACACACCTGTACTGTACAAGTCTAATTACGGTAACCGGATCGGCTCAACTCGATCGGCTGGGACGATAGCCGGCTCCGGCTTGAAAACAGCTGCCCCTAACAACCCGGTGGGTACTGGCCGGGAAGTTTTGTCGGAGGACCATCACGTGTTAATTGGCCGGTTTGCACGTGACGGCCTACCACTACCCTTCCACATATACTACTACAGAGGTTCACGCAGCCGGAAGTAAAGTGGGCTTAGAATTTTATGATTGGACTTGAGTTGCTTTTCCAAACGGACCGAGGTCTTCTTTCTAAGGCGAGCCCAAGTTCAAGTTCAGCAGAAGCCCAATTCTCTGTTTAGTTAACTACGTACCGGCTCCCTCCGCTATTCTCGTCGGAGAATCGACCGGAAGCGAAAGGCAATGGGCAGCGTAGAGCAACACTTCCCAGTTCCTCACAGAAGTTTCTCAGTCGAAATTAAGGTAACGCCGATCAAAACCCAACTTCCTGCTTCTAGTTGTAGTCTTCCCTGCTCCGTGGAATCCTTCCTGAATTCATTTTTATTTTTATTTTTTGCCTGTTGTTTGGCCTCTGAAATCTTCTGGGTTACCGCCAATTCGTTAGCTGTTTCCCTCGATGAATAAGAAACCAAAGGGACTGGCTTTTTGTAGTTTCCATGGCTTATTCCGCTTTCCGAGTAATGGGTTGCGGGCAGTTCGTGGAATCGAGTGATGTAGAGTAAACCCGGTTTGTAGCGTTGGGAATTTGTCTGTGGAGATTCTACTGTAGGGTTCAATATTGAGTGACTAAGTGCAATTTCGGTTCCTTGTTCATTAATATCTGTTTATCTTCTTACGTTTGTAGTCAAGTTCTCTTGCTTGGGATACCGGCCTCGTCGGGTAATTCCCTTGTATGGAAGCTCACGCTACGCTAATTTTCTGGTTGTTTCATGTTCAGCTTATGGCATGTGGTTTATGCAATCTGAATTTTCAAATGTTGTGGTGGGAACTTAGATGATCCTTGTTTCTGGTTTGACAGGGGAACAAGACTGATGTAGTCATTTCCGGATACAATGACCATATTCTTGTGAGTGTTGACGTCCTTTAATACCGTTCCTCGGTACTTGGTTGAGTTTTGAAGATATGCTTAATGGTTAATTCATATCTTGAGGTTTAAACTTACTTCCCTTTTCTCAGGTAATTGCAACTCAAATAGGAACCATGGGGACAATGCTACAAGCCAGGTATGCACCGGGTTTCTTTTCCCGTAGGTATTTATTAGTATCTTCGATCTTTCTCTAGGTGCAAGTAAATCCATTTGGAAAGTAAAGATCATGGGTTGAGATGCTCTTGCTTCTAGTGCGCAAGTGCTGACAATTTGGCAGGGTTGGTTAACTTCACACTGATCCTTCATTTTGCTTTTGTGGGACCTAATAAAATTTGCTAACCTGCGCAGGAAGGAAGAGGGAATGACAAGTGAGCCAACTTTCCACGTATCGGTGATATTTGGGAAGCGAGATGAGGTGAATCCAGTTAGAAGCAACAAAACCTTTCTTTTTCATCTGATTATGAATATTGTTAACCCTGACTCGAGAGTTGTTATATATGCAGCCTATGCTAACAGCATGTGCTCGGCAACTGATTGAACACATGAGGTCAAACTCCAACTCTCAGTCATTGATCAATAATCTGTTACTTATGCTTTTGTGATGGACATTGTTAACTGAGATGAAATCTTGTTTTGTGCAGTAGTTCCGGGTCAGCTAGGCCATTGGTTCTCTCTCTGGGTCTTAAAGATCACTCAATGGTAAGAAGATGCAGGAAATGTATTTCTTCTTCAGTAGACTATCAGAGGCAGGATTGGTCAATTTGTTTTGTGTGTGAATTATGTCATGCAGGAGACACTGAAAGGAGTTGTATCTTCTGTACTGGAAAATCGAATTTGGTAACAGGTGGAGCGATCAACGTATATGTCACTGTTCCAAACTTGCAGCATTTGGTTAGACTGAGCCACTGCCTTTTTCTTGGAGATCCTGCACTGCGATTGTTTCTTCAAGGATTGGGACACTTGAATGTTTTGATGATGTAATGGTTGAAGTTGTATGTATCATCGTCGTTTTGAACATCCAGTTGAAGCATTTTTCAATATTATTCCAGAAAGAGATGGGAAATTGATACAATGAGGATGATCTTGGCTGGAAGACCGCTTCTCTTGCATTTGCAAGCAAGCTGCAGCATACGGGGCAGAGGTCATAGTGCTGAATACACTGTTAAGAGACATTCCTTTGCAGGAGTGCAGTTGACTCCAAAGCGTGGGATGTTCAGAACTCACAATTGGGGTCATTGTTCGGTGAGGGCATCTCATGAATATCGAGTTTGATATGAGGCTATTCTGGAATCGAGTCACATGACTCGCATCCAACAACATTGGCCGTATCATCATACATGCTTAGTTGAACCATGCACGTCTCAACATGACCAAATGAGCTCGATGATATTCGTTGTTTTTATCTCACCAAACAATTTTTATCAGAATTGAAACTGGTTATATTATTTCATGATCTACCACCTAATAAGGTGCAGCTTATTACCGTTTTCTTGCCAACTATATGGTACACGGAATTGTCTTCTTTAGATTTACGACTCCATGCTTTAACTTCTGATGGTCCAAAAATCTGGAACCGACAGGAGAATTCAACCCCTTGATGTTGGTAACATGAGATCATGGTGTTTTGCACTCATTAAGGACAGAGAAATTAGAAAGCCTGAGAATAATGTCATCATCACAAACAAACCAAAGAAAAAGGAAGAAACAAAGAGAGGAAGACACAGACTGCCAACCATGGCTGGCTGGCACTTGGATTGTAAAGATGGAATCTCCAAAGATAAGTTACGAACCAGCAAATGATACATGTGGGAGACAAGACAAGACTTAACAGCTAAACAACCAAAACCAAGGAAACCAAAGCAGAGTGAATCTTTACTTGCATTATCTTGGGACACAATTTAAGTTACAAATATGGCATCTCAAAATTTTCTTTGGGTGTCCATCTCATCACTCCCATCTTTTCTGTTCCATTTCCAATCTTACATAATTCATATATATGTATATGGTACACTAGAAATACAATATCATTCCATCCACCCTTTGTTTTTTCACCTTTCCACCTTCTTCCGATGATACCTCCCAAGCGAACTCGCCCGATCTCGCTACTGGAAGAGGAAAGGCACGGATGATGCCGAAAAGCTATAAACATCGCCGCCGCCACCATCGACAGTCGTTATCGTCTTTCCTTGTTAGTTGAACAACTCAATTGTCGTTCCAGCTGCAGAATATGGTAAATAAGACCGTAATCAGATGGCATTGATGTCATGAATCAAGAACATAACGCTTCAGCAGGCACACAGATAACATAAGCAGAGAGTAAACATTATCGTTAGCATCCTAACTCGAGACCGAACACTGTTCTCACTTGTTCAAGACTCTAGCTGGAGAAAACGTACCTGATTGTTCATCATCTTTTGCTTCTGCAATTCGTCGAAGAGGCTTGCGATCCTGACATGAGAATGAAGTCAGCTAAATAAGAAATCTGACTAGGGGAAGTGAGAAAACATACTTCAGTTGTCATACCCTAATTACGTACCTCTGTTGCAGGCCAAACACCTGGGCCTGTAGCTCCCTTTCCCTCGGAGATAACTGCAAAAGGTCATTTGAGGCAGCCTCCACGGACTCACCATGCTTGGCTGATGCAAGATAAAGACAAGTCAAACCCCGAAAATGTCAACTATACAAAGAGAAAAAAGAAGATATACAAAGGCGAATTTATTACCGGAGGAGTGCTCCACAGACTTGATCAGTTTCATGATTTCGTCCTGTTATCATTTAAGAACAAAATCAAGAAGTTTAGTTTAGGCATAATATGATCACAAACATCAGGCGACAGCTAAAGGAGTATGATACCCGTTGCATGACATTCTGCTGCAAGATGCACTGCAGTGTAGGGAGAACTGAGGCAGCTGTTAGGTTGGATGATGGTGGACTAGTTGACCCTTGAGAAGCAGCTGGATTGAAATAACAATTTGTGGGACCCTTAGGACTGAGATCAGCAGAAGTAACCTTAAACCGTCCCTTGCGCTGGACAATGGCTCCATCTGCTGCATCCTCTACTGGCATCGTAAAGTAAATTAATCAAGCAATGAAGACAGGTATACCATTCAGAAACAATATCAGAAGGGTGCCCAAACCATGCATTCAAATAGACACATACCTGATGACATATTGTTGGTATCTCTCTTCTGCCGGTATAGTAAAGTGCCACTATAGTTTCGATCAGATTGGTACCTTGGCTTTTGGACATCCCTACATGATGTTTGAAAACATATAATTAAAACAGCTCTAAGCAGATACAGAGAAATTGACAGGGGAAGTATTCCAACTTCCAGAACATTGTGTTACACAGGAAGACATTGGATCGACATGTCAAGAAGTTAAATGTAAACTGAAGATGGACACATTACACATCCAGACTTTTAAGCAAATCCTTCACTCCTAAGATCACATAGCTTTGACATTTCAAAATCAAGTGACCAACTCTTAAGATCACGAGAGAGAATCGGAAGAAGTATTAAATAATCCGTGACCTAACCACTTGTATCAGTCCTATGTCACACCAGAGTACATGTTACGTGAAAGTGTGTGAGACCTCCGTCGCAAGAGCACACATTATTTGGAAGACCTAAAACACTTGGGAGTGGTAAAGCCATTCATTGACAAGGCAGTCTGCGTAGCTTGTTTATCACATCATTGCCAGAAACAACACAATAGCACATTGTAGGATTGGCGAACACTAACATATATAACAAAAGGAAATTTGTTTGTTTACAACAATGCTTACCTGCTTTCCTCACTTGTAGACCTCGCCTCAGAATGACTGCTATCTGCTAAAATTGGTCCACTCAAAACCTTTTTGTTCTCATTACTGACATGGCGTGGTAAGGAGCTAGTCCGTCCATATTTCTGAACTCCATTGCTTTCAAAGTCTTTTTCTGTTGTAGTTGGCCTCATAAATATCTGCTCCTGCTGCTCGTATTCTACTTCACCATTACATTTAAGAGTAGGCGTGGTGGCATCCTCATCATCCTCACCAACGTCAAAACAACCCCTGCATCAGATAACAAAACATGATTGAAACTTCCAAGTAAGCAGTAATATAATCACGGAAGCTGGTAAACATACACAAAAGTGCAATACTTGAAAGCACACGGAAGTCATGGACATTGGTTCATTGAGAGTAATCAAACTTTTATTAATAGCAGTTCAACCAAATACAAATGGAGAGAGAGAGAGAGAGAGGGGTACTTTAGAGCTTGCAGAGGCTTCATGGGAAACACATCCAGTGAACTTTCCAAATCAGGAAGATCATCAATTCCATCCTGCAATAAATAACACGTGGATTAGAAACATATTCAACCTAAAATCCGGGGTAGGAAATTGGGAATGAGGCAGGTGTGTGGACTAATGAACAAATGTACACCTCATTAATTGTAGGTGTCATGTGGTCAGCTGCATTTATAGATGGATTGCCATCTAGAAACTCGTTTTCCTGCCTGTCAGTTTGTTTTCCAATAATACCTTTCTCTTCGATGCTACCATCATCATCATGTATCTGTAGATACCAGATCCACGTAAATAAGGTTGCCAATGATTATGACATGCATCTGGTAGAGAACAAGTTACAACTTAGAACTCATTTAAACCAATATTTTAACTTACAAGAGCAGCCTGGTTTTTCAAATCCTCAAGGTTGAAATTCCAGGCACTGATCCCTCTTATGTACTCTTGCTGCAAATCAAACAAACAGAGTGATCATAGTATCGAATTTTGAAATATGAGCCATCAGCAGTTAGAGAGTAGAAAGGAAATTTGTCCCAACAATAACATCACACAAAGAGATGCATGCATTGAAAGGATGACATGATATTTTCAACATGACCCATCTAACCTGAGATAAATGCTCTTTATCCTCATATAGAGGCTTGTTCACCAGAAGATCAGCTTCTTTGGCCTGAAATAGGGAAGAGTAATTTAAGGCATTTTAAAGGAATTACACATCAGCTCATCTCTAAGCTCCCTCCGGAAAGATAATCATAAAGAATATGTAGAATGGGAACCTTCAGTATCCTGAAACGTTCTCCTAATGGTGAAAGTCCGTCAAGAATGGAACGGGCAAGATAGTCAACTGAGCGTGCATGTTTGAAAAAATGGTGTTTCAAGAGCTTTTCCGAGGTGGGGCGTTTCTTTGGATCCTTCACTAAGCAAGCAGCGACCAACTCTTTAAATGACTGCAAAAAACAACAATTTCAACGTATAATCAATGAGCAAAACAGTGAAAATGATTCGCCCAAAAGACACAAACCTTTGAAAATCTTTTGTCTCTTTCATAGTCCAGACCTGGAGGAGCATTCTGTAAGGTCATCAGCAAAACCTGCAAATATGTTCGGAAAAGACCATTATAAGGACAACAAACTGACATGGCAGCTTACGGTTCAATTAATTAGTATAGTAATCTAGACGTTTACTTTCATCGGTGGGTACTTGGAGAAAGGTGCATGGCCATGAGCAAGTTCAAGAGCTGTAATTCCAAATGACCAAATGTCTGCTCTGTTCTCACAACCAACGTTTCAAGAATTTTCAGCACATTATTCAGTAAACTGGGAAGAAACTTCACAGATACGAAACATAAAAAGAAGAGAGAGAAGGACATCAGCAACTCACTTAAAATCATAGCCATGCAACTGCTGCATAACTTCAGGAGCCATCCTGAGAGAAACAGCATATAAAATCTTATTAAATCTCCCACGGGAAAAGAACAGTAAGGCAGATGCTGCAGAGGAGAGATGTAGAATGCAACATTACCAGCATGGAGTTCCTACAAAAGTATTTCTCGAGCGCTGCCTATCTCCAGTATCAAACATGCATGCTGAAACTCCAAAGTCGGCTAGCTTAACCGAACCATTAGAATCAATTAAAATGTTGCCAGCCTAAAAAGATAAGCCGAGGAACCATTAGTCAAGCTGTAAAAATATCCCTTACAAAACATCTAAACCGGAAACAAGTGGATGATTGCATAAGGGCCAGCCAACGAAAAGCATATCTATAATGCCCCATGCAAAAGAAAATTAAGTTGCTTCAAATGTCTAAATAACTCTGTTACCCCTCCCAGGGCTAACCTTATCATGTTATCCAGGCTAACTATGAACATGACATATTCAACACAAATCTTTCAGGTCACTCCTCCAGAAGGAAGAACCACCATCACAGAGATAGTAAAATTATATGAATATGAACTGGGATGAGAGTGGATGGGGTACCTTAACATCTCGATGTATGAAACCATGGGAATGAAGATAGACAAGAGCTCTGAGAGTCTCCCGCAATAATGTGGCAATAACAGGCTCTTCAAAACCTTCTGGATAAGAAGATTTCATTATATGAAGGCACGAACCTCCAGCCATGTACGGCATCACAACCCAAAGGCTATGGCCAGCAGTAAATGAGCAATGTGAACGTAGCACATTTGGATGATCAATCAAACTCATTGTCTGTACCTCACGTCGAATGCCATCCTATGCCAACAACCAAATTATAACAGTAATGATGAAAGTTGACAAGATTCAGTAACATAGCAAAGAAACAAGTAACACAAAGAGACAACACATCAATGGCTGACTGATGTTGGAGATCATGATTTAGTGAGTTATGACACGGATTGAATAGAGCAAACTCATAAAACAAAAAGCAAAACCTTGAGACATGATATTTAGTGATTCCATGTGCATGAGGAGAAGATTTTCCTTTGGGATATCCAATCCCCCAAAATATCGATAGACGTTAAAGAATATCAAATAGTAATGCAGTAAACTTACCAGGTCATTGTTGCACTTCTCCAGATCAAGGACCTTAATTGCTACAATCTCATTGAGAGGAACACAGAGGGCCCTATGTACAGTGGCACTGACCCCTTCCCCAACCTCTTCATACAACTTGTAATCTTTAGCGCACAAAGGATATTTTTTCTCCATAACTTGCTCCATAGTTGCCACTTACAGCAAAGCCATCAACTACCCTTCCGCAGCCTTAGATGCCCCGAAAATGGTAAATGAAATTCAGGTCGATATGGGGTTTCTTCCAATTCCTGAGCATTTTCCTCCCTCCACCAGACTAGGTATACCATGCACCAACAGGATTCGCGAAGGTCTTACAGGGAACCATCAAAAGCACCCGACTTTTCCTCTGCAACTCCTGTTTATCAGTATTGCAATGCCATGTCAAATGAATGCCTGATCGAACATGGTGAAGGGAAGACGAGATGGAGCTGCCTCTGCACAACAATTCGTATAAAATCTCCAGAGGCTAGGAGAGATAAGCAGCAGGTAGGAAGTAGTTTAATTGCACACAGATCTTCCTGAAGTCAGAAGCAGCCGAAATTCATGAACCAAAAAAAGAAAGGAAATTTGAACCCTCCCAATTGAGACTAGCGCAACCTATTTGCAATCCGATTTACAAAGCCAAGCTGCCCAACTTCTCCACAGCCCACACCAAACTTCGACGAATTCAATAATTCAAAAACAAAAATCATCAAATCTCCCCCCTCCAATTCACGCTCAATCAAAATCGAACTTCACAAGGAAAAGGCACAATCGAGATCACCAAGGAAGTCCAACAACAAGGAGACGGGCGCAGATTCACGAGCTAAGAATCTCCATTACACATATTAAGAATTTCGAATAGAACACTGGAACCTCACCTGCTTTGGCCGGGGAACTTGATGGAATATCTTCAACTGAAAGATACAAAAAAAGACCAGCGAACGGCGGATTCAGCTGATACCGGGGAAAATCAGCTCTCCGCCAAACTACGATTCCGACGGCTGGGATAGAATCCGCCCCGAAAACTTATCCTTCCGCCGTCGCTCCCCTCCGGCGACCTTGTGGTCACTGTTAATTGGGATGGGGAAGGAGAAGCAACCAGCGAGCGAATATAACGATAGAAGGAAAGGAAGAGGAGAGAGGGTGGGGAGGACTCGCGGGCCAAAAGCCAGACGGCGATTGCTTGCTGTCGAGAGAGATAGAGAGAGAAAGTGAAACGCCGGTGGGGGCCGCCAACGAGATTTTGAGATTCAGTTCTCCTCTCTCTCTCTCTTCCTATGGTAGCTAACTACTAACTAGTAGGTAAAAATCTCGCGGGACGCGCGGGATAATAAACACTACAAGTCTACTACAACACGGTAACAGTTCGAACGGGGCCGGATTCTCTTCGGGTTGGTGATTCGTATCGCGCTAAATTATCGGGTTACCATATTTGGCGGGGCGGGCGGGGAAAAGCACGACGGGTCGCCCGCCAGTGACCTATCAGACTATCACGAATCGCCATTCACATCTACTAGGGCTGGGCATGCGGGCGGATCATCCGCGGGTTTGGGCCGACCCACCCGCATTTGACCCGAATTTCGTTAAGTGGGCGGGTCTATGGGTGGGTGACGGGTTGCGCTGGGAGCCATCCGCCGGGTGGTGGGTGGGTTGTGGGTGAATGTGCGGGTGACCCGCTCAACCCAACAGCAAAAAGATCAAAATCGTTGGTGCTAGAGAGAGGAGAATGAAGACGTTAGATATAAACTCGGACTGCTCCTGGAGTTTGAACCTCAAAATCAACCTTCCAAATAGAGATCCCCTCTTCTTCCTTTTACTTTTTCCTCTAATTCTTGAGCCTAGATCACCGCTCTTTCCTTTGTGGAATTATTTTCCTTAGTTCCTTGCACCTAATAATTGTCTCAATCTGTAGAAAACTCTTTCATAATAGAATTTCTATCCAATTTAAGAACTAATTCGACATTTTTCGCCCTATTTCAACTTCTTGTTTCCCTCGATGATTCTCTTCACCTATTATCATGTCAAGTTGACTCTTTTATATTATATACATTGTGATGTGGGTGAACCCACAAACCCACCCGCATCATCCACCATCCGCCCGACCCAACCCGAGACTAAATGTGGGTGGGTGGTGGGTTAAAAATTATCAATCCGTTTAAGCGCGGGTGGGTACATTTTATGGTCAAAATCCACCCGACCCACCCAATGCCCACCCCTAACATCTACAAAGGAGCTCCGTGATTCTTGTTTCTCTATAGCTGGATTTTTTTTTTAAGGTGCTGGATTTTTTTTTGGGAGGAATGATTAATTAATGAAATAAAGGATCTAAATGCCTTGGTAGCATTACCTGTCATAGTATCATGCGAGGATTATGTGTGTTTCTTTTTTCTTATTTCCTAGTGGGTGTTGTGTGGGATCAATAGTTCATGCAAAATTCAGCCATGAGTACAAGGATAAGGTTGATCAAACAATGATTTGCGTGAGAATAATCACTAATCAGTTTTTTTTTCATTTAATATTGTGTTTACTCTATTGGTGTAAAAATTATCTTTTAAAAACGAATGAAAAATTCATCATTTTAAAGCATTGTCATCTTATTTTCCTCTTATATATATATATATATGAACATTTACAGCTAAATATCAGTCATCTCATTCTTTTCTTGGGTTCTTCTCCTCTACATAGGTAATTCTCATCCTCGTGCATGAATTCCAGTTACTTATGTCTAGACTATGTATGATAATCAGTATCGTACTCTCTTCTCCGATTCGCACCATGAACCGAGTTGTGTCACAAAACTAGAGAACAAAACAACTCAAATTGTCATAATTAAGTGCCTAAAATAGACCACTCGAATTATAATTGATGGTATATATTGGTGTCTTCATAATTGCAGTTGAATTACGTTGTTCCTGTAATGATCCTTTATAATCTATTTCCAATTCTAACGATACAATCATAACTTTTTTGCACGATAATGAAAAGAGGACGTTACCGATAAAGTAAAGAAAATCGGGACTCTCTATTAGCGGTTGGAATTCAGCCATCGGTGTGAAAGTCACAACTCACACGTGTAGAGAAAAAAAAGGCCAAAATTAAAAGTTGCGGGAGGCTTTTTTATTGGGCCTTTACGCTTGCGTTGTAGGAATTTGTTTGAAGGGGGCAAAGCCCAACTCGATGGGCTTTCTTGGGCCTTTACGCTTGCATTGTAGGGGTGCCAGACTTGTCTTTGTTATTATGGGTATGCGGCCACTTCATTGAAATCATCAGGGCTACACAAAAGGGGCCAAAATGCTAATGGGCCCGACCAGGTTAGCAGCCCTCACATAATCATCATAATTTCATAAATTTAATACTTAGCTCGTTTCCGATAATACTCATGAGAGGATTATTAACTCATGTAAGTTTCATATTGGCGTACCAGTAGATAAGTTCTCATTTTTATAATTAACGATACTAATAATGAACCAATGTCATAAAATTTTCAATTTCTATAATTTCACAAGTCTCGATCGAGATATGTTTTTAGACAAATTATCAGTAGGTTTGAGAGAATGTAGTATGATTGAAGCAACTCATTGAGAGCATCAATGGTGACCAAAACACATCATTCTCTACCCCACGAAATTGACCATTAGATAAGATTGTATCTTTTGACTAAAAACACACAAAATTGAAAAAGTTAAATATTTAATTTTGTGTAATGCTTGTTGTGTGTTTTCAAGTTCTGCAGAAAAAATAAGGGGGAACAGAATTGCAAAAGGTCTATATGGTAGTTGGCTATCATTTGAGAGACAATACTATAGCCCACACCCATGCTTTGCTATAATGCAATGTGAAAGTAGGACCAAACCTCACTTTCAGATTTTGCTTTCATTTATTGGCTTTATCTACCTACTAATTATGTGATAGATGTATGTTTAGGGTGCAAGTACTTTGTCTCCTTGTTTCAACCTACCAACTAAATCCGATCAAATCGATAAAAAAGATAAGATGTTAATTCTAGTTTTGCTTTTCAATGTTTTTCGGTGGAGAACTTTTGTGAAGAGTTGGAGAAGAATGCTAATTTGTATCTAGGTAACACATGCTTATTACTTAATTGTGAATGTTGTGAATGAGTGATTATGGTACATATGAAACATGGGACAGAAATGCACTAGAGCATTTTTTTTTAAAATCGTTTGCAAATTGCAACCCACATACACCAAAATCCGCTAATCCATAATTATATGACTAAGTGAACATAAACACATTGTTTATGCCTATATACGGATAGTCAGATTATGTAACCTGCGAAAGTTTATTATATAACATGAAATTTAATATGCCACCTACGTACCTACCCTATTATAGGATATCAAGTCAGTATTTTTGCCACAAGTAAAGGCTACTTTCGAATCAACATGAATAATTGTCTAAACAAAGTAAAAAAGAGAAACCCTACTGACCGACCAAAGAGATCATGGAATGGAAGGACGTACATTCTTGACAACCTAGCTATTTAGGGCAAATGGGCAACAGTCTATGGAGCATTGGCCACGTGGAGCAACCTGAATCCAAATCTTAATCTACCACTAGTTATCTAACTTATCACAATTGTACGGTTTAATAAAATTTCCCAATCCTATTATATAGCTAGCCAAGGTTTCGTGCTACTAACTAATAATGCTTTGTTTGGACTATATAAGGAAGAAAGATGAGTGATTTTATCCTAACTTTTGGTGTATATGACGTTTTGGATTTGCTTTGACTATAGACAAAACAAAAGCAAATAAGATAGAGTGAAAGTTGTATTCATAGAAATTCTTTCACAAGCGATTTTAACTTATTTAACATATTTTTTCAGTTATGTTTGTTTGGTTATCATGTATCGTTCTCTTTGGTCTCGTAAATGAATGATTTTTCACTGTGCATTATTTTTGTTTGAGGAGAAAGTAATGCATTTCAAGATTATTTTTTTTGAAATATTATGGAAGACCCTTTTTGTTTATTCAAGCTATCGTTTCCAGGCATCACTAACATTTCGTCAACACTTGATCCATTCAACAAAATTGCTACACGTTTTCCTCATTAAAAACCACACATTCAAAAGACATACACGTGTGTGTTATGAAAATAAATGTTTCGCTTTTTGTTATGATAATATAAAGGGGTTAATTGCATGATTGGTCACTGAGATTACGAAAAACGTTCATGTTTGGTCACTCAAAATATTTAAATCCATTTATAGTCACTAGATTTAGTAAAACAATTCAAGTTTGGTCACTCTCCGTCCAATTCCGTTAACTCTGTCTGATGTGGCAGTCAACTTTCAAAGTTGACCGTTAAATGTATGACGTGGCAATTAAAAAAATAAAAATAAAAATTTCCACCTCATTATCACTACCACTAAAATGAAAAAAAACAAAAAAAAAACAAAAATCAAAATAGAGAGAGAAAACGACAGCTCTTGACCGCCGACGCTGGATTCCGGAGAGAGAGAGTGAAAGGTGGGCAACTCGTGATCTAAGCTCTGGTCCTGGTCGTTCAATGGTGTATATTGGTGGGAGGGGAGAAGAGTCAGTGAGATGACGAGTCAACAACGGTGATGGTAACGGTGGTGGTATGGCGATGTCAATGGGGATGGAGAGATCAAAACCGCCGCTCCACAATTTCAATCTCCCAAGCTTGAAGTGGGGGAATTAGAGAGAACTCTGATGCATGATTATCCCCTCTTCTCTGCCTTCCACCTATATATAATCAACCACCTTCCCTCCCTTGGTACTCAAGACCAGACTCAAGAGCTAGAGTGTACAAACCAGCCATAGAAACAAGGAAAAAGCACGAATGGGTTCCCTGACTAAAAAATCAGTTCTCGTACTATGCGGCGACTACATGGAGGATTACGATGTTGTCGTCCCTTTCTTCACCCTCCGAGCCTTTGGCGTACGCGTTGACTGTGTCTCCGGGGGTAAACTCCCCGGCCACCGATGCTTCACCGCCGTCCATGACTTTATGGGCTTCGAGGTAATCACACTATTGAATCCCAACCCATGAATCACCCACTTCCAATTAATCGAAAGCTTGATCTGTAGTAATCGAATTTTGTTGATGCAACTTTACATAGAGCTGCAGGGGCATTTCTTCACCCTGAACGCCAACTATATACGAACAAGTGAAGGCCGACTCCTACGACTGCCTCCTAATCCCTGGCGGGGGGTTAATTGAGCTTCTGAGCGCCGACGACAAGACGGTGGGACTGGTGAGGAAGTTCGAGGCCGGGAAGCCTGTCGTCACCAGCTACCACAGCCAGATCTAGCTTGAAGCCGGTGATCGAGTTCGCCGGCGGGACCGGGTGGGAGCAGCCTGGGATTCAGTCGGTGCTCGACATCACTGTCTGCCTCATTAGCTCAATTGGGTGGCCGACTCATGGGGAGTACATGAAGGTTGGTCGACATCACCGCTGTAAGTTGCGACCAAGGTGGGAGTGAGGTGGAGTTGATAATTAGTGAGTTAAAATTAATTTTTTTTATTTTTTATTTTTCATTTTAGTAGTAGTGATAATGACATGGAAATTTTGATTTTTTTTTTAAATTGCCACGTCATACATTTAACGGTCAACTTTGAGAGTTGACTGCCACATCAGACAAAGTTAACGGAGTTGGACGGAGAGTGACCAAACTTGAATTGTTTTACTAAATCTAGTGACTATGAATGGATTTAAATATTTTGAGTGACCAAACATGAATGTTTTTCGTAATCTCAGGGACCAACCATGCAATTAACCCTAATATAAAGTGAAGAAAGTTCATATAAAGTAAACAATAATAATTTACTATAGCAGTCACGAAAGTTGAAATGAGTAAGTTTTGATTAATACTAAATGACAAATAAAAAGTTAGGAAAATTCATAGAAAGAACCCTTCTCCCTTATAAGCTTCCATTCCATCACGTTCACAAATGGTAAATAGAGCCGGCATTCCACATGCATGCTTTCGGAGAACCCAATGCCATGATTAAACACAATGGACCAAATGTTCTTGTTTGTTTCAATAACAATTAATGACGACGATAACAATATTATGTCCAATTAATTACTGTTTAATAATAATAAAGGGTTAACCCACCAAAGCAGCATTGTGCATCCCCTTCACGCGGAAAGGAATTAAGCATGTTATTGTCCACAATGAAATGATCATCCATGATCCATATTTCACTGTCCCTTTGCTTTGCTGGCATGTCCTTATCACAAGTTCTATGTATCAAACTTCTTGGGGAGTAGTTCAGAATCAACCAACATGCAGGAATGAGAAGGAATATGCTGCCTGATCAAATCCAATTGGCTCCCTTTGTTTTCTAGTCGAGGAGCGCACCCTCGTAATAAGGTGAGAATCTATTCAAACATATTTTTCGATGTTGTGTGTCACACTTCGTAAAATATAGTCAGTGTGTGCTTATATGTGCGTTTATGTCGGTCTTTTGTTCAAATCGTTAACTTTTATAATGAAAATGACTATAATTGTCACAAGTAATTTATACCCAACTAAATTTTTCATTATAACAAAAAGTTATTATGTCCATCACAAGGATTGAACTTTTAGCTATGCGGATGTGTTTTACCTTATTATTATCGTCTTACTTAATATGTTCTGTTAATGTTTAGGGATTATAATTATTATAGCTACGTATGATATGTAATTTGGTCATGGCGATGCATGGAAGAATAATAAATCTCGTTTCTTCATCCAATTCATATTTTCTTTGTAGTCTAGTGTATGATTAATTATCCTTACGTGTAAGTTACATAACATTGTGATTTTTATGTGCACTCTCAAATACTTACGAGGCTGAAGTTTGCACAATTCCATATAGTACCTTGTATTTAAATCAATTGCTAAAACCGAGGATCGTGAAGCGCTAGCTACCTAGCACCAATTGTGTTTGTACAAACCCTTAGCCAGCTAGTCTTACAAAGTTTTGTTGCCACCGCCTGTGATGAACTCAAACGTAAAGAGAAACCTCTCCACTAAATATTTTTCATGCTGTCGAAAAGTTACAAATTTGTCGTATTAATAATTCAAAATGATTCGAAAAAAGAAGAAAAAAACCTTATATTGTTTACACGGTCTAATATGGGGAGAAACGTTGGGCCAGCATGGATATCAAATCAAACCACGGTCTGCTAAATTGGGCAAAAAAAAGCAAACTAAATTAGCCTAGGGTTTGTGTCTTTGTGAATCGTTTCTACTTTCTAGAGTGAAAGCAGAAGAAGAAAAAGAGTTTTTTTTTTTAGAAAAAAAGAAGAAAAAGAGTTGATAAATAGTAAATCCTCACCTCACCGGCGTGTCGCCCGCACCCCTCGCCACGATCAATATCATTCACTCACGAATTAAAGCCCCCATAACCGCCAATTTGTTCGATTTTAATTGGTGTTATTTTTAATTAATTAGTCAAATACATTTTGACGAATTAATGAGTAGGTAATTGTTTTGGCGAAAAGTAGTTGTGATAGGTCATGCATGACTCCTCTTCTTGTACACTTGCTAGCTAGTCAACTCTACCAATTGGGACATCTCAAACATTTCTAAATCTCTCATTATCTCTAAGCTCTACTCTTCTACAATATTTTTTGGTCATAGTGTTAGCTTATGCTGAGCTTAGAGCTACGACACATGATTTTTAGTCTTGATATGGATCGTACATGAATAGCTGCGGATCCAGGGGGTCGTCCCCGAATCGCGGCCCAACCCTCCTCTGTATCTTGAGCTAGTATAGCACTTGTAATTTTCAATTTTTTATATTCGTTTCAGTATTTTTCATGTTATGGCCCAACCCTCTTCACTATTTTGGATCCGCCGCTGTACCTGAATCGAGTTTAACAAGACGTATCTATGAATATAGTGAATAATGCGTCTCGAGCTCATTGACTTCACGTTTTCACTATTTATATGAATCATCGAACCCCATAACATCTTTTGTGCATTATGAATTTATGATCATCTTAATGCATTATGATGTGTGTGTTGGCCACATGATTGGATTTCATAGTAGTTTTCTTTTTTTTGTGAAGCAAGATGGTGCCCTTGTCTAACAACTCACAACACCAGACAAGGCAGAAAAGACCAAAACAGAACCACCCCATTTTCCCCCTCATAAACTAACCTAATGCTGCCGGCCGCTAGGGTCCAGCAAAGCTTCCCTCTCCAATTTTCTTTTTTCACTTAATCGTTACATTATTGTAGTAACCCATACTTGTCTTTGCTTCTTCTCCTCCTTCTGTAGTTTAACTATGATCCAGTCTCTGCATAAGACTAAGAGTACGTAATCGTTTAACCCGAGTGAGACAAATAGCAAATCATACCTAGCCTGTCTACGAAACATCTTTAATTTGAAGGATACGTGTAACACTTTTTAATCTAAAATGAACCTTAATTTTCAAATTTTGGAATGTAATTGTTAATACGTCATTAGATTATTTTGAGATGAAACGAATGATAAAAGTTACGATGAGGTAAATTCGCATTTGCATATATAGTCTATACTATATAGTATTAGTTCATTTCCAATTTTGATTTGTAGTATTTCAACTCTTGCTTCCTAAAGCTAAAGCGGCAAGCAACCAACTCTGCAACCTACTTCATCACTCAAACAACAACTAACCTCTCCCTCTTTCTTTTCTTTACCCCGCGGACTTTTCCTCCTTCCTTCTTCGTTTTTTCTTTTAATGGTTTTTCCCCCTTCTTCCATTGGCTTCTCGTTTAGCCCCTTCTTCTACTCTCCCCCGTCTTTGTCTGTCTCTATCCCTTCTCCATAAGCAAGAGATCTTCCGGGACCTCCCCGTCTCCAAGTAAGGAATTCTTCTCCCTCCTGCATTTCCACATTACCGATAGCAGTATACCACCGCCTTTGATTCTGTCGGCGGGGGATTGCTTCCTCTTCTACAAAGTTCCGTGCTTGCTTGTTCAACTCCCCCAACTCTGTTGGTTGATTGATTCGCCAGCTAAAACCCTTCTCTGGGTCTGCAACTCTCTGCTATTTTGCCTACTGGGTTGAGTCCCCTTTTTATTTCCAGTTAGTGCAGAGAAGGTGATCGGCGAAATGCTTGTCTGAGAAAAGGTGGGAGGAGGAGTGTTTGTATTTTTTCTTCTTCTTTCCTCTTTGATTTGTTTTTGTCAGAGATAGGGGAGCAGGGGAAACAAAATGGGGAGGAGGAAGTTGAGGTTTAGCAACTTGTACTCTTTCTCATGCTTCAAATCACCAGCGACTGATGATCATGCTCAAATCGGGCGAAAGGGTTACTCCAGGGTGGTTTACTGCAACGACCCTGATAATCCAGACTCACTTCAGCTCAATTACAAGGGGAATTACGTCTCCACCACCAAATACACGGCGGTCAACTTTATTCCCAAGTCGTTGTTTGAGCAGTTTAGGCGGGTCGCCAACTTGTATTTCCTCGTTGTGGCTTTCGTCTCCTTCAGTCCACTGGCTCCTTACAAGGCTGTCACTGTTCTTGCGCCTCTGCTTATGGTGATTGGAGTTACCATGGTCAAGGAAGCCGTTGAAGATTGGCGGAGAAGGAAACAGGTAATTCCGGTTTTTGTCCTTTCCTCTTCTCATTTTTTGAAAGCTCTCTGCTTGATTGTGTAAAATTGCTCGATTTCTGGGTCACCGCATGAGGTAATTGCCTGAAGATTTTGATTGGTTTCAGGATGTAGAAGCTAACAATAGGAAGGTGAAAGTGTTTGGAAAGAGTCATACATTTACAGAAACTAGATGGAAGCATCTCAAAGTTGGGGATGTGGTTCAAGTTGATAAGGATGAGTATTTTCCTGCTGATCTTCTTCTGCTTTCTTCATCCTATGAAGATGGAGTATGTTATGTGGAGACGATGAATCTCGATGGAGAGACTAACTTAAAATTGAAGCATGCTCTGGAAGTCACTGCCTATCTACATGACGAAGAATCTTTGAAGCGATTCAAGGCCATGATCAAATGTGAAGACCCGAATGAAAATCTCTACTCTTTCATCGGGACATTGCATTACAACGGGAGTCAGTATCCGCTCTCGCCGCAGCAGATTCTCTTGAGAGATTCGAAGCTCAAGAATACTGATTATATCTATGGTGTTGTGATTTTTACTGGCCATGACACTAAAGTGATGCAGAATTCCGTGGATCCTCCTTCAAAGAGGAGCAAAATCGAGAGGAGAATGGACAAGATTATTTATATCCTTTTCAGCACGCTAATCGCTATATCTGGTGTTGGTTCTGTGATTTTTGGGATTGAGACCAGGAGAGATTATGAAGATGGGAAGTATAGAAGGTGGTATCTTCGACCAGATCATACTACTTCGCTCTATGATCCTCAAAGGGCACCACTTGCTGCTTTCTTACATTTCTTGACAGGACTCATGTTGTATGGGTACTTGATACCAATATCGTTATATGTGTCGATTGAGATAGTGAAGGTCTTGCAGAGTGTTTTTATCAATCGAGATCAAGAAATGTATGACGAGGAATCGGACAGGCCAGCACGTGCTAGAACGTCTAATTTGAATGAAGAACTTGGTCAGGTTGATACTGTGCTCTCTGACAAGACCGGTACTTTGACATGTAACTCAATGGAGTTTGTGAAATGCTCGATAGCTGGGAATGCCTATGGTCGGGGTATGACAGAAGTAGAAAGAGCTCTCTTGCAAAGGAAAAGTGGGAAGCCAGTAGTAGAAGCTGACGATTCATGTAATGATTTGAATGACATGGGAAAGTCAGTGAAGGGGTTTAACTTCAGAGATGAACGCTTAATGAAGGGGTGTTGGATTCACGAACAAGATTCTGATAGGATACGGATGTTCTTTCGAGCATTGGCACTTTGCAACACGGCAGTTCCAGAGGAAGACAAAGAGTCACATTGTGTTTTTTATGAAGCTGAATCACCAGATGAAGCGGCATTTGTTGTAGCTGCTAGGGAGATGGGGTTTGAGTTGTATGAAAGGACACAAATGACGATATCACTGCATGAGTTGGATCCCGGGTCTGGTAGACGTGTTGATAGGTAAGATGAATGTGAATTTTTTACCGTCTAAACCTCATTGCCCTTTGCAACCATGTCTAATCATATTTAGACTTCCTGTTTACAATATGCAGAGTATACAAGCTTCTTAATGTTTTGGAATTCAGCAGCTCACGGAAAAGAATGTCTGTGGTTGTAAGGAGTATGGAAAATCAGCTCTTACTCCTATCCAAGGGCGCAGACAGGTTAGAAAGCCTAATTCCAGGGAAAAGGTCTATGTATATTTCTTTTGTGGTAAGTTTTTCTCTTTCATTTTTAACTAAAATTGAACTATTTCAAACTGTTGCAGTGTAATGTTTGAGAGGCTCTCGGAACATGGGCGAGCTTTTGAAGCTGAGACCAAGGAGCACATAAAAAGATATGCTGAGGCAGGTCTCCGAACCCTGGTAGTTGCATATCGTGTGCTTGATGAAACTGAGTATTGTAATTGGGAAGCAGAATTCACAAAAGCGAAAACAGCAGAAACTGCAGACCGTGATGTGTTGGTGGATGAACTAGCTGATAAGATTGAAAATGGTTTAGTTCTGCTTGGTGCAACAGCTGTCGAGGACAAATTGCAGAAAGGGGTAGGCATCAAGTTCAAATCGCCAACCTGTTTTAATAATTTTGTTTAAGTTGAGACTAATATTTTTTTTGCTTGTTCACAGGTTCCAGAGTGCATTAACAAACTTTCACAGGCAGGGATTAATATATGGGTCCTAACTGGTGATAAGATGGAAACCGCGATAAATATTGGTTATGCTTGTAGTTTACTTAGACAAGGGATGAAACAGATCACCATCACATTAGACTTGCCAGATATTGATGCATTGGAGAAACGAGGGGACAAAGAGGGTGCTTCTAAGGTAGGGATTGTGAACTAAACTGATGACTTGTCAGATGTTCTCATGTTGTGAAAGGTCTGTAACAATCTCTGTATTGTGTCAGGCTTCTCTTGAAAGTGTATCGAAGCAAATAAACGAGGGAAAATTCCAAATGACTTCTGCTAAAGCAAGTTCAACGGAACTGAGTTTGGTTATTGATGGAAAGTCTTTGGGCTATGCCCTCGACAAGAAGCTGGAGATGTCCTTTTTGGAGCTTGCCCTCAGTTGCGCTTCTGTCATATGTTGTCGGTCTACTCCTAAACATAAGGCTCTTGTAAGTATCATGATTATGCACTTATTACTCTGGGGTTTCCGAGTAAATGGTTGCCATTTTCCTGCTGTAATGTCAAATGATCTGATAGAAGTATAGGAGACGTGCAGGTCACAAGATTGGTTAAAACAAGAACAGGTAAAATGACGTTAGCTATAGGCGATGGGGCAAATGATGTCGGCATGCTCCAGGAAGCTGACATTGGAGTCGGCATAAGTGGTGCTGAAGGAATGCAGGTTTGTGCTATACCAGTTTTAAACTTCATCTTCTCTCAAGAGTAGTTTGCCGATTTAACTTGCCTTTACACTGAACTGCTGCAGGCTGTGATGGCAAGTGATTATGCAATAGCACAGTTCCGTTTTCTTGAACGTTTGTTGCTAGTTCATGGTCATTGGTGCTACAGGAGAATAGCCATGATGGTAGAATCTTTCTCCTGCATCCTGCTAACTTCTTGGTCCAAGTGAATTTCTCATGTTTCCTTTTGCTTGTTTCAGATCTGTTACTTCTTCTACAAGAACATTGCATTCGGGTTTACATTGTTCTGGTACGAGGCATATACATCTTTCTCTGGCCAGCCTGCCTACAACGATTGGTACATGTCATTCTACAATGTCTTCTTCACTTCACTTCCGGTAATCGCCCTTGGAGTTTTCGACCAGGATGTCTCAGCCAGGCTCTGCCTTAAGGTACAAGCAATTATCAAGTTCCCTCTATCAATTAATTCGTTGGCATCCACCTCCAGTCTCTGCAATCATTGCGAGTTAAATGCACTTAATACTTGAATAATACTCATGCATGTATCTGTTTAAACCTCCCTGTCCAGTATCCAGTACTATACCAAGAAGGCGTCCAGAACATCCTCTTCCGTTGGTCCCGAATCCTTGGCTGGATGTGCAACGGAGTCCTAACCTCCATAATCATATTCATCTTCACCACAAACTCCATGATCAAGCAGGCACTCCGTGAAGACGGGCAAGTGACCGACTACGCCATCCTCGGTGCGACCATGTACACGTGCGTGGTGTGGGCCGTGAACTGCCAGATGGCACTCTCCATCAACTACTTCACCTGGATCCAGCACTTCTTCATCTGGGGGAGCATCGGCTTCTGGTACATATTCCTCATCATGTACGGCTACGTCTCCCCAACCCTCTCCACGACGGCTTACATGGTCCTCGTGGAGGCTTGCGTCCCAAGTCCTCTCTACTGGCTAGTCACGGTGCTCGTCGTGGTGTCAGCACTGGTGCCTTGCTTCGCGTACAGGGCGTTCCAGTCCAGGTTCCGGCCCATGTACCACGACATCATACAGATACGGCGAGCTGAAGGGTCAGAGGAGATCGAATCAGGTTCTTCTGTTTCGGGAGAGTTGCCTAGAGATGTGAAGTGGAGAGTGCAGCATTTGACAGAGGGGTTGATAACTAGGAAGTCGTAGCTTTTGGTGGAATCCCAGTTGTTGTTTTAGAATTCTTTTGTCTGTTTGTTCAAGTTTTTCTAAAGGGTTACAGAGAGAGTAGATAGGTTTGTTTAAGTTTCAACCTTTAGTTGAATTCGTGGATTAGCAGTAGGAGGAAAGGGAAGAGAGTAGATTGTAAGTGTGCCCGTGTGGGAGGAGTGACAGGTTATAGTCTTATCCTCTGCAGCTTTGTAGATATGCGAGAGTGAGAGTTGTAAAGTTTCTATGTGTATATATGTCCAATTCAGGCTTTACTTGGGTTATAAGTTATAACATTGGAGCATCCTCAATTGTGAATTACAGCAGATTGGTCATTTGAAAGAACTTGAATGGCAGGTTCGTGATTTGACTAAATTACCGAAATAAAAAATTTACCGGACTCAAACCCTAGCCTTTGCCGCCGTCACCCTTCCAACTCTATTCTCGCCGGTAAGCTGTTCCCTTTCTTCTATTTTTGCTGTTCTTTCTCGTCTTGTGTCTCCGTCACGGCGAGGGGAGACTGGCTCATCTTCTGCGTTGTCGCTTTGGCGTGGGCATCGACCACTGTGCGTAAATGGGTTGTATTCATTCTGTTCCCCATTGCTATGTTGTCCCAGAGCAAGTCTTCTCTATGTCGATCGCTTGAACGACGACGACGACGGCGGCTCATCAAACAGAGTTGATGATGGTGAAGATGACTTGGATAAGCAGAAGATAGTTAGCGCCAAGAAATATGGCGCAAGAGCCTACTTGCTTGTTCTCACTTAACGCAGCGCAATTCGTCCCTTGTCCAGATTATGGACTGGGCTTTCTGTACTCTAAACTCTCCTCTTCTCTCAACGCAGGCTTGGCCCAAAGTTCTGGTCTGTAGGATTTGGGCCATCAAAACCCAACGTGTAATGTAGGAAACCATAATCATTCTAGAATCTAGATGCATCAAATCAAATGAAAAGAATGAAGCTATCCATCCATCCTTCTAGATTTCTTATCTAGTCGTCCTGACAAACTGTCAAAGGCCTCGGGGAAAAAAAAAAAGAGAAAACTGAATGCTTTGGGACTTGTTGTCGATATTAGTTTCAGAATTTCCACACGACACACACGACCCAGTTGTAATATGTCCACTTGGACACCATTGACGACTGGCCGGTCCATGGACACACAAGAAAACGGAAAGATAGAACAAGAAAATTGTTCGTCACTAATTAAATGGTGCCGTTGGGGGTTGTTCTGTTGCGTTTTCTTTTCCTTACGGTTAATTTTCATGTTTGTTTCGTCATGACAAGTCACAAGTGGCATGTACAGTAATCACCAGGGGTCGTCACTGATTGTGTCATAGTCATAATCTAAGCTAACGATCTTCATGACTATTGACAAATAAATAACATTACAAATTATTCTTAGCTGGTTTGAATCGTTTGATTGATTGATAATAACTCTTTTCCCCCAACTTTAGTTAGTCAAATAAATTTGGATTTTGAAAATGTAGCCGGACACGTTCATTAAAGTAATTTTGTTTATTATATTCTATTGAAAAGATCAAGTCGACGAACTAACCAATATAACGGTTCAAATTGTATTATAGCAAAATCATTTATGAGAATTATGATAATATAGTAATAAAGCCACCATATTGGTTTGATCACCAGCATGGGCGGAAAATCGTTAACAATTGGACACATACTATTTGATATTACAATACAAATGCGGAAATCGTTTACAATTGGACACATACTATTTGATATTACAATACAAATAGTATGAATTATTATGTGACATTGACTTCTTAATACTTGGCTGTATGGACCTCATTTTTTAATTAATTACTATTGCAAAATCCAGACAATACTTGGATGTATATAAAGTTATGAGTATTTAATCAGTTATTCTTGATATTATTTGTATGATCATGCGGGAAGGTAGCCCATGATGATCATAATTAACTAAGCCAACTAGATACTATGCATGTGGAGTTCTAGAACGCAATGAGTTTTCTACAAGTTAATTAAAGAGCTTGGAATATATAAAAGGAAATTATAAATACGTGATTGCATTGAAGTACGTATGAACATACGTGCGCAGCAAGCCCAGGCATATATTTATTGCCATATATTTGTTTGTTTATTTGATTTACATCCTTCATTCATTCTCGCACGAAAATCGTGGGGACAGTTGATCTGAAATTAATGATCACATTTCATAAATCTAAATGTCTTGTTTCTCACCGTAATATAATCGATATCATATTGATTGAACACCGTTGTTATTTTAATACTTAAAAATAAGATAATATACTCAACCTCAAAGATTGTCCATAAAGTGATACGGGTAAGTTACATATAAAATACATATGTGTATTTTAATTCATATCTAAATTAATGGTACGTTTATAGTACGTCAATAGCAATATATATTAAATTGACTATTTAAAAATGAATAAATATATAAATAATTTTCAAATTATCAATTTTGTTATACGTCTAGCCTCTAGATACAACCTAATGTAAGAGCTGGTAACGACTAACAATCCCAAATCCAAATGTTGCCAATCCATACCAAATACCAATCAATTTAGAAGGAAACTCATTAGGGATCTGGTTCCTTTTACTTTTTGTTATCTCGGAGGTTTACTCTAAATGTGTTTTTTTTTTCATGACGTACGTGAACTAGAATTAATTATATTAGTTTCACAAGGGAGGTCCAGTTGGTTTTAGTTTTTAAAAGATTTTAAGTAGTCAATAAACTTGAAGTCAACAACATGATGCCAAATAACAGCAACTATTAATTAGTTTTATGCGCTTAATATTAACGTTGAAGGAAAATTATAGTTGGTGATCATTAAACAAAATCAAAGAAAGCAAAGCCCTCCAAATGAAAACACTATAAAAACAAAAGCGAAATCACTTGTCATTAATTCCTTAAACTATTCCTTTAACCATAGTTTAAGGGACCTGAAGAATTAACGTATAGCCATACGCAAGCAGGAGCTGAAAATAGGATCTTCTAAAACCGCCAGAATATTAAAGGAAAAAGATCCTTTAAATACCCCAATCGAGCTGGATTTGGTGTAGTTGTTTAGATAGAGTAGAGATGGATTAATTCGTTATTAATTAATTAAATGGGGATTGAGAGGGAAACTGAAAATATGCATGAAAAAGACGTAATTGCAAACGATGGCCCTACATTGTTTCAGTTTCATCGGCTGATCCTCAAGGATCCTTCTTTCCTATTGGGCTTGGTTCAACGACGACTATTCCCGTTCCAACGGAACGAAGGTCTACTACTCCAGTTTCTTCCTCGTAGGTACGACTACCAATATCCATATATCTAATATCTTTTTTACTCATGATGGAATGACACCATTCGTCCAAAATTTCTAGACCATCAATTAGATATTATCACTTGGAATCGGTTATTGAGATAGGTTAATGTAGGTTGCAATAAATCGAATTGTTAGAACAAGTCTCACTCTGCTGGTGGAATGGTGCTCTTGGATCCACAGCGGGCGATCCTTCGCGTGCAGGGGATTCAGTTTGGTACTATTGATGACCCGTTGGTGGTGGAAGCGCTTGTCCTTCGCGAAGCTATTTTGTGGTGTGTAGCCAATGGTCTCCAGGAGGTGAGGTTTGAAGGAGATGCCAAGGTCATCATAGAGAAAATCAATCAAGCTGACACTAGGGATAGTAGGATTGGGATGATCTTAGAGGAGGTTCGGGTTTGTTTGATGCAGAGTGCTGGGTTTAGTGTGCGGTTTGTAGGACGGAGGAACAATAGGGTAGCCCATGTGGTGGCTAGAAAGACCCTTGCTTTGTACCCGTCTGCTTGTCGCTATTTTAATTTTCAGGCCTGGCTGAATTCCAGGATGTAAGGTTACCTTTCTTGAAATCAATATATGATTATCTTTTGTCAAAAAAAAAAAGTATAAATTTTTAACACTTACTTAAAAATTGTATTTTCGTAATCATTAACTTTTCTAATAATACGTATGTTTTTGTTTGTTCTTCCTCATATGATTCCCTAAACATGAGATTTTTGGTGATAATCTTTATCCTTTGTGCCTGGTAATGTGAAATGGGTTTTCATAGCAAAAGATGTAGTCTCTCTTCTTAAACCTGTGGGAAGGGTAACTTGTTCAACGCTATTCTCTAACAAAGGCAATGTTCTTCGAATTGTCTCTATAAAAATTAAATTAAGTGTTATACCGTCTTGATTGACGCTCCAATCAGAACCCTGATCACATATCCAATGTTACTAGCTAATTGATAATGGCCTATGTGGGATGTAAAGACACTCGTGGTTTGCAAGGGAACCTACTAGCGGTATTTGATATACAAGGGGGCGTGTGAGATAATTCGCAATTGGAATTTGGTCTATACTCTATACATGTAACATACGGAAATAATTTGGAATCCATCAAAATAAAAGTGACATTCTTTTTTATTCAAGAAACTGATTAATTTTGAGCATTATTCCGTGTCAGAGATTTAATTAGGGTACTAATTTCCACAACTAAAATTGTTAATCACGAAGAACTCTTCATGCAAAGAAGCAATCAAATCCAACAAAAGCTCCAATTAATTGGAGGTATATGTATGAATATTCCCTTGTACGCACGCGCGCTGTGCTGAGGGTGATGAGGCGGCTAATGACTAATCGACATCGTCAAGACGTCAACTATTTACAATGGTCACCGGCCGGCTGCGCAACAACACCAAGTGATTGAAAGAAACCGACAAGTTCCCCTGGTCGAAGCTGCCAAATGCAAATCTGCCAAGTCTCAAACAGCCCACTCCCACAGTCAAGGTGGTTGGGCTGGGCTCCGCTGGCGGGCTGCATCCGACACCAAGTGTCCAGATCCCAAAACGACTCACAATAATTATGAAAACGACAGCCCCCTCCCCCCCAAGGAAAATTAACAAGCATTTAATCAAAGATTCCTCCGTCTAATGTTAATGCAATCAATCCCAACTCAACCCTTCCTTCATTGCTTCAAACAATAAATATGATCGAAATGATTCATCAAAAAAATATGATCGAAATGACCAAATCACACCGACCCACCCCAACCCAACCCAACCCAAATCAAACCCCTTCCCAGCTCCCACCCACCCGACTCCCCATCGTCCTCTCCCACGTAATCACGTTTTGCATATCTGCATTTGCACTTCCTTTTACCATTCTCCATCCCCTTCCACTCTCATAAAACCAACCTACCGGCTACAGTCGTGTAGTACTCTTACTGCAGATGAACATCACCAAATGGAGAAGAACTCGTATATATGGTTCTTACTGAAACAAACCAGGTGAAGAATAACTCTCCTATAATTATTAAAGCTACACGATTATATATATGGGTTTGAGAGTTTAGGTTTGTAAGGAATCGTGGTTAAATACCATATACATGGATTTCTCCCAACAACTCGAGTTATTGGAACCAATTGGTTTATGACAAGGTTATGTTTAAGACTTTATAAATTACTCAATCGAGGCGCTACACTTGATTCAACATCAATTATTAACTCATGTATTTTTGTCACCCATTTTTTGCTATTTTTTTAACTCGGACGTTCATATCATTTATGTGTGTTTGAGAGCGGGAATGTATTGTGATTTTCTTGCTAACTCGTTAGGAGCGGGTGGCATTTTAGATCCACACGCTATTTAATGTTTTGGCACCAAAAATCTTTCTCAATCCATCGTTGCTTTCACGTA